CGGCGGCTGCAGCGACGGCCTCGACGGCGGCGGCGGTGGAGACGACGGCTGCAGCAGCTGCGGCGACGGCGGCTGCGGAGGCGGTGGAGGAGGAGACACCGGGGGAGGGACAGACGGCGAGGACTGCGCCAAAGGACTACCAGAGTCAGAAGACTCGTCGACCGGAACGACCGACGGGAGGGGGGTGACGTGAGACACACCAGAGGGGGCCGGACGGGGGGGCGGGGGGGGGGAGGGGCAGGGGCCACCAGGGAGGGAGGAACCAGGAACAGGGGGGAGTAACCGGGGGACCACGGTGGGGAAAGCGGCGGAAGAAGGAGACGGACTCGTCAAAGGTGACGTCGCGAGAGTGAAAGAAACGGTGAGACGGCGGGTGGTAGAAGTGCCAGTCGGACGCGTCAAGGGGGAAACCGAGGAAGACGCAGGGGAGGGTGCGGGCAGTGAGCTTGTCCGTGCCAGAGGCACGAACGTGAGCAAGGCAGCCCCAGACGTGGAACGCAGACGCGTCACCAGGGGACCCGGTCCACAGAAGGGTCGGCGAAACCTGCGGCCGCTGGGGGTGCGGCCACAGGTTAAGCTGGTGAGCGGCGTAGCGCACGGCGAACGGCCACAGAAAATGGGGTGCACCGGCGTGGATCATGGAGGTGCGAGCCACCTCCATGACCAAACCGATGCGTCGCTCAGCGACCCCATTCTGCTGCGGGGAGTCCGGCAGGGTAAACGTCTGGGTGATGCCCTCCGCACGACAGAAGCGACCAAGGACACCTGAGGCGAACTCGCCTCCCCGGTCGGAGTGGAGGCGCAAGGCAGGGAGACCGCGGTGGAGACGAGCAGAGACAAGCCAGGGGATGAGAACGTCAGGCACGTCGGCCTTCCGCTCCAGGGGAAAGACGGTGGTGTAACGTGTGAAGTCGTCGACAAGCACTAGGAAGAAGCGCTCGCGACGCGGCCCATGGACCGGGGCTGGGCCCCAGACGTCCATGTGCAGAGTCTGCAGGGGTGCGGTGGTAGGGGGAAAAGAGGAGGAGTGAGGGGCACGGCGGAGCCGGCCCTCGACACAAGGCGTGCACGGTGGGGCGGGGGATGAGGGAAACTCAGGGAACGAACCGGGGAGACCAAGGACGAGACCGTGCTGGGACATGTGACGCAGACGCGGGAGTGCAGGGTGACCAAGGCGGTGGTGCCAAAGGAGAGTCGGATGAGTGAGGGACCGACAGGAGCACGCAGCAGCAACCTGGGTGGACGCAGCTACCTGGGGGGAAGACCCAGCCGGGGACGTCGCGGTGTCAAGTGTGAACAGGCCGGACACCGGGTCCCGGGGGAAAGTGGTAAGGGGGGCACCAGTGGCGGCCTCGGTACAGACAGCATACCGCTCGTGACCAGGGAACGTAGTGGTGACGCCAAGGTCCTGGAGGCAGCCGACACCAACTAGGTTCCTGGAGAACGAGGGGATATGCAGACCGGTGAGCGAACCTGAAGGAACCGCCGGACAGGGAAGGGAGGTGGAACTGCGGGCAAAGACGGGACCACCGGAGGGGTCAGCAAGAGTAACTGCAGCAGGAACAGGCAGCGGCGTCAGCGTCGTGGAGTCGCGGAAGAAACACCGGGAGGCGCCAGAGTCCAAGGTGAAGGAAAGCGCAGCAGTCGCGCGGGGCGACAGTGAAGCGGTGGAAGCACCGAGGCTAAGCAAAGCAGGAGATCCTACGCCTGACGCAGCAGGGGAGTCTACGCTAGGCACAGCTACACTAGGCAACACGGGGTAATAAGAGGGAAGCACACTAGAGTCATCGGCATACATCACATGCAAGGCTGCTACAATGGCATCCATGTCCAAGTCAAAAATCCGAATGCTACGCCTAAGCAAGCTGTGCCAGTCCGGGAGGTCGGGCGCCGGGCCAAAGCGCTGGCGGAACAGGTCGTCCAGACGACGAAAACAGCGAGGAGTGGAATGACCGATCTTACCGCAAACGAAGCCGCGGCGAGGACCGGTCTGGATCTGGTACTGACAGGGCCCGCCTCCAGAACCACCACCCGGGGCACCACCACGCGCACGACCACCACCAGCTCCAGGCCACCCAGGCGGGAGAGCACTCGCCGGCCTCGTCTGCGGCGGCTGCTGCGGCTGCTGCGGAGGCTGCTGCTGCTGCGGCTGCTGCAACGGTGGAGGCAGCGGGGCAGCTGGACCGGGCAGGGTCCCCACGTCCGCACCGGCACCGGACGACCCGCCTCCACCACTACCCCCACCCGCACCCCCGCCACCTCCGCCGCTCCCAACCTTGGGGCGGCGGCCCTTCCCCGAGCGGGACTGCACTGCAGCAGCAGTCTCAGCCACAGCGACAGAGCCGTCGGAGAAGGTACACTGAGCGGGGGCACAACCCTGAAAGATAGGGACCGGTACTGTACCGCTCGCCTGGGCTATGGAGCGGTGACGAGTCTCTATGGCAGTCAGGGTGTCAACAAAGTCGGTGAGGGTGAGAGCAGCAGGGTGGATGCTAAGGAACTGGTCGCGGGCGGCGGCAAGGCGGTCAGGGAGGCGGGTGGCAAGGAGGTAGAGGGTAGAGGTCATGGGAGGCTGGTGGACTCTAAGCTGTGCATCAGTGCAGGCAGCGCGCCAGGCCTCATCTATCGAGCGCAGGTGGGCAGCGAGGTCAGAGACAGTGGGGAAGGACGCCAGGTCAGGAAAGAGCAGGGGGAGGATCAGGCGACCCACTGAGGCAGCAGGAGGGGTAGAATAGCGCTTGATGACAGCATCGAGGTAGGCCTGGGCGGTAGTAATGGTTCTAAAGCGAGGGCGCTCAAGGGGGGGGAGGGCATTGCTAATGGCGAGCTGAGCAAGGGCATCGCGGGAAAGCCAGACAGAGCGGGCAAGGGCAGCGGCGGCAGTGGACTCGCGCTCAGCGGGCGTGGGATCAGCAGGCAGCACAGCAGGGGGGTCAGGGCAGGGGAGCATACCGTCTAGGTGTGCAGAAAGCGGGTGGCCGTCCTGCCGCTGACCAGTAAGGTGGCGGCGAAGGTCAGCCAACCACGCCTCGAACTCCAGAGGCTGACCCTCAGCATCAAAACGAAGCTCAGCAGCCATGAGGGGCAGTGGAGGACAGTGGAGTGCGGTGTAGTGCTGTGCAGTGCGGTGCAGGGCGGTGCAGTGCGGTCCAGTGCGGTGCAGTGCGGTGCAGTGCGGTTCAGTGCGGTGCAGTGCGGTCAGTGCGGTTCAGTGAGGTGCAATGCGGTGCAAGGCGGGGCAGGAAAGTGCAGGAGGGTGCAAAGTGGTGCGGGGAACGGGGGACAGTACCAGGAAGTATGGAGGGCCGGGGCAGGCGCGACGGGGCCGGGCAGGCGCGACGGGGCCGGGCAGGCACGTCGAGGCCGGGCAGGCGCTACGGGGCCGGGCAGGCGCGACGGGGCCGGGCGGCTGCGACGGGGCCGGGCGGCTACGACGGGGCCGGGCGGCAGCGACAAGGCCGGGCGGCAGCTACGAGGCCGGGCGGCTGCGACGGGGCCGGGCGGCTGCGACGGGGCCGGGCGGCAGCGACAAGGCCGGGCGGCAGCTACGAGGCCGGGCGGCAGCGACAGGGCCGGGCGGCAGCTACGAGGCCGGGCGGCAGCGACAGGGCCGGGCGGCAGCGACGGGGCCGGGCAGGACACAGCAGGGCCGGGCGGGGGCGACGGGGCCGGGCGGGCGCGACGGGGCCGGGCAGGTGCGACAGGGGCCGGGCAGCTGCGACAGGGGCAGGGCGGGCGCCACGGGGCCGAGAGGCCGCGACAGGGCCGAGCTGGGGCGACGGGGCCGAGCAGGGGCGACGGGGCCGAGCAGGGGCGACGGGGCCCAGGAGGGTGGATACGGGGCCCAGGGAGGAGCGCGGCAGGGCCCAGGAGGGGCGCAACAGGCCCAGGAGGGGCGCTACGGGCCCAGAAGGGGCGCAATGGGGGCCCAGGAGGGGCGCGGTGGGGCCCAGGAGGGGCGCAATGGGGGGGGCCCAGGAGGGGCGCTACGGGCCCAGGAGGGGCACTACGGGCCGAGGAGGGGCGCGACGGGGCCTGGGAGGGGGACGACGGGGCCCAGGAGGGGCGCTACAGGGCCCAGGGAGGGCGCGACGGGTCCCAGTAGGGGCGTTACGGAGCCCAGGAGGGGCGCGACGGGGCCTGGGAGGGGCGTTACGAAGCCCAGGAGGGGCGCTACGAAGCCCAGGAGGGGCGCGACGAGGCCCAGGAGGGGCGCTACGGGGCGCTACGGGGCCTGTGAGGAGCGCGACGGGGCCCAGGAGGGGCGCTAAGGGGCGCGACGGGGCCCTGGAGGGGCGCTACGGGGCCCAGGAGGGGCGCGAAGGGGCGCGACGGGGCCCTGGAGGGGCGTTACGAAGCCCTGGAAGGGGGGGCGCGACGGGGCCTGGAGGGGCGCTACGAGGCCCTGGAAGGGGCGCGACGGGGCTAGGGGGAGGGGTCGCGACTGGGCTCAGGAGGGGCGAGGCGAGGCTAGGAGACGCGACGGGAGGAGCGGAAGCGGTAGGCGGGGGGGGGGTCGAAACCTACTCGTGATACCATATTATAAAACCTAGAATTTGATGATGTGAGAGAGAGAGTACACAAACATATACCTAAATGTTGTACTCTCTAGAAGGTGACCCTATACAGTCTATACAAACATGATAACTACACATGTTTGACAGGGGTTGGGTTGAGTTAGATTTTTTTGCAAATTGCACATATTTTTATCTATTATAATATTTCAGTTACTTATGCACAATTTTACAAACTTTGTAGAAGTTTTAGTGTACAAAAACCAATCACTTATGCAAATATAAGCCACCGGAACATGTTTATTATTCCGGTGTAACATTCACAAATTAACTCATTCGCATAACCTCTCATCCGCATTAGACTCGCAAATCATTTACGTGCAAAGAAACGAGAAAAAAACATTTCGCGAACATTTGGCGGACGATTGCCGACTTAATGCCCGAGCTCGAATGGTGAAAACGATCTGCGAATGTTGCACTTTTGAGTGTACAAGGCAAAGGCTTGAAAGCATACACAACCATAGCAAGATTCTGTCAGACCAGAACCCCGTATTCAAGGTTCGAGAGAAGTAGCAAACGAATGAATAGGAAACTCACATTATGGCAGATGATAATACAGCGATGAGGCTTAGCACCGAGGATCTACCATTCAGCCCACATGGATTCAGCCCACCGAACGAAACCTAACAATCAGCCCACCGAAGCTAGCAATCAGCCCACTGTACAATACAATTCTGACCCTTCTACCGAGTCGGCTCTTTACGGGAACTGCTGTACGGGCATCACCTGCCGGGCGCGCCCATACGCGGTGTACGCGCAGTCCACGGCGAGCACGTCGCTCGCCTCGTACGACCGCGGCGTGCCGTCCAGGAAGCCCTGGCCCTCCGCGCCGTCGGCCGAGATCGGGCGGTGCAGGCTCGCGATCAGCTTCTGGAAGTCGGCGGCGCGCTGCGCGTGGTCGTCGCGGTACGTCTGCCCGAGCACGCCGTGGATGTCGTCCGTGTGCTCCAGCTCCGCGATCCCCACGTTGATGTGCGCCTCCGCGTCGCTGGGCATCTGCAGCTTGGGGTGCGCGACGCGCAGGCGGAGGTCGAGGGAGATGAGGCCGTCGATGGAGAGCAGGTAGTAGTCCACGTCGAACGGCCCCTCCTTCTCCAGCGCGCGGAACTGGATCGTCAGCCCGCCCGCGCTCGTCACCGTGTCGCCCACCTGCATACGCGGGATCTCCTCGCCGTCAATCTCGATGCTCCTCATGAACCCCGCACCGCGCTCCTGCTGCTTGCCGCTGCGCGCCGCTAACCGGATCTTGTGGTCCACGGCTCCGGCGGTCCACACGATGCCGAGCTCCTTGATCCACGTGTGCACGGCCTTGCCGTCCACCACCAGCGCCGCGTTGTCCGTGCGCTCGTCGTAGTACCCGCGCAGCAGCATGTTCACGTGCAGGTTGCGGTCCGTCAGCAGGCAGAACGCCTTGTCGGGGCGCCCGTTGAAGTCAAAGTGCGTGCCGTGCGCGCCCACCAGGTGCGGGTCGTTAAGGATCTTCGCGGCGGGGTTGCACTCGCCGCCGATGCGCACCTGCAGCGGCACGGGCTTCGTCTCCGTGTTGTACTGCGCCGTCATCTCGCCGCACGTGAAGTCGATCTGGTCGTGGATCAGGTAGCACGCGCCCTTGCCCTTCTTGCCGTCGATCGTGATGTCGGGGATGTACTGCCAGTACGTGCACAGCGGCGTCGACGCGCACGTGTTGCAGCACGACGCGGGGTTCGCCTTGAGCACCGTCAGCGGGTTGCCCGGCACGTACAGCTCGTACCCGAGCTTGTTCTTCTGCAGGTACGCCGTCTTCCACTTGGCCGCGATGCCGCCCTTGGAGCAGTTCTTGGGCGTGCACGCGCCCGCCAGCTCCTTGTTCAAACCGGGGGGGCACTTCTGCGCGTTCCACCCGGCCTTTTTCACGTCCGCCATGAAGAAAGTATCCTGCGACGTGTCTACGTACGTCACACCGGCCGCGTCGCCCGCTGCTGCCGCCTTCGCGATGGCCGCCGGGATTTCGGTCATGAGCCCGTCGTCCTTCTTGCTCGTGGGGTCGGGCTTGGCATTCGTCGTCGTGCTCGTGATGGCGCTCCCGGCGCTGGCGACCACCACCAGCAGCGCAAAGGAGAGCGCGAGAAGCGCGGCTCTGGCCATTGCGACTAGTAGCGAGTACTGCTGTGGTAACAATTATGCAACGTCAGTGCTGAATGAATGTTCAATATTGTCTACTCGTGGAACTGGTGCTGAACTACTAACTCCCTGATATCCTTTCCAGGAGCGGAACAAAGGAATATATGTTGCGGCGGAAATCTTGCTGCTGGTGCCACTGCTGCTGGAGTGAGGAGGAGGGACTCAGAACTGCGGGAAAGGCTCTGCTCTGACGGAACAGGAAGCGCAGGTAGATCAGGAATGTAAATGTTGTAAGTCTGAAATCGCAGGTGGTGACAAGTTCGCAAACTCCTGAGAATAGCTTATCTCACGCGAACCTGAAAGGCACCTGACAGGTGCTTTTGCCTGAAGAAGAATCTGAAACCCTATCAGAAGACCTGTGCTGCCGAGCCGAATGATTTGGTTTGGGTGACTCAGGGGGCAGAGCAGACTTGGAATTGCTGGCGCCATGTGACTTGCCCGCCCGCCGCTTCTCGCTGTTTGTGTCGGTCAGGTCTGCAGGAAAGGGAGGGATGTCGAACTGCAGATTTCCCTAGGGAGAACAGATTTGGTGGAACCATAGGCCCAGGTGAGGTGACAGCAAAGCTGGCGACCGCATGAGTGAGTGGCAATCAGAGCGCCAATAGCTTATCAGAGCCTGCCAGTCAGTTGATGGGGCGGGCCCTTTTCAGGTTCCAAACCAAATGTAGATTCCCCTCCCATGCACGCACGCAGCAGGGAGGCGCAGAAACGGCCAGGTCAACAAATGTCCAGGGTATTTGTTGGGCAACATTTTCACCCGCTACTAGTCGGATTGCTACAATTGAACTATTACATCAAATCATAATTGCGTCATTAACATTTGTACATCCCCTACATACAATAAGCTACCGTAATCACCCGGATAGACGCCCCTCCGTAGGATTAGTCCCATGGGCTCTAACTCGTGCATTGGGACTGATAAGCATTATTCGTTTATACGCCCCTCCTCTCTGCTCCGGATCAAACAGCATTTTAAGGAACTAGCCAAGATAGGCAAAATGATTGGACGCGCGTGAACAATCCATTGGTGACAAGGTCTCGTTTCCATATGCGCTGAAACTCGAACTCCATCAGTTCAGGTTCGTTTTTCCTCGGGCGATCTAAAGCGTCGAAGTTGAATCGGACGGCTGTCGTAGATCGTTGCTGCTGCAACTCCAAGATTCGTGGCGAAGTTGGAAATTCTTGGAAAACGTCGCAGGGTAAGTTCCACTAGCTACCGTCGATCGCTTCGGAGGGCAGAAAAAACCCATGATGTTAATGCAGGTACTTCGGGGATGTCTTCTCATTGGCGAGGGTCGCTGGCGTATGCCCCCCCACCAAAAATCGGCTTCTTCGATGCTGGAAATCGAACGGTTGGCGAGGCTGCTCGAAGTCAATGGGGACCCTAGGTGGAACTGCTCGAGGTTAGTCGGAATCGGAACTTAGTAAGAAAATTTGATTCACTTATACGTTCGAAAAGTTTGACTCCATCCTTAGCGTGCTCCTAGAGGCTCGGCGAGAAAGTGTTGATTGGAAACATTGTGCTCTGCTTACCAAGTGTCACATGTCCAGGTTTAAGCGGAAGCTTGAATGATACTAATCAAGAATTGAATCCAGAATTCAATCCAGAATTGAAGCAAATAGTAAATGCTATTTATACCTACGAGAAGTCTAGGGAAGGATAACTAGGACCTTCTAAGATAGTTCTAGAAATGAGTGAAATCGTCCATAACACACCATCTAGAAGCACAATATGGATTCTAGAGATACGGTGACGGTGACGGAACACTCCACGCAATAGAAAACGTGTCGCGCAAGGAAAATCAGAAACACTCCATAGCACAATTGATATATATGAAATATATCAATGTGTAGTTTCCCAAAAAGGGAAAAACACACAAAAGAACATACAATAAATAGCAAATAACAAATGGTTGTCATCAAGGATTTGGCAAGCCTCATACTCTCACAAAAACCAGTAGAGAAGTCGAGCGAGTGCAGCTCGTAGTTACGCTGTGCTGCTACGTGTAGAAGTGCCTGAAGAGTGGTCATCTTCGAGGTCGGGGCGAAGGTTTGAAAGAAGTCAATACCCTCGCGTTGACTAAAGCCTCTAGCAACGTAGTGCGCCTTGAACACCGGCGGCTCTCCAAGGGGGGCACTTCACATTGAAGAGCCAACGGCCATCGACGACGTTTACCCCAGGTGGCAGAACTGCACCGACGTAGGTACTAGTGGATCTCCAAGATGCCATCTCCACGTCCATGGCAGCTATCCATTGAGAGGCTCAGGGTCTAGAGGTCGCCTCGGCGTAAGTACGAGAGGTCGGGATGTTAAGGGCGTTTGAGTCACCCTCAGGGACTAGCAGCATGGAGCAAAGATGGGGAGCGGCCTCGGACAGGAAAGCTAGCTCGTACTGTCTGTCCTGTGGGACGTCACGGCCAAGGGCAGGTGCACCCCTAATGGACGGAGGATAGGCAGAGTCAGAGACCAGTGCACCGGCGTATCCAAGGCGGCGGGTAGAGGCAAATTCAGCGACGGCAGTGACAAGAGCGTCAAGTCTGGAGACAAGAGCGGACGGGTCGGTAATAAGAGAGGCGAGAACGCAAGGAACAAGCGGACTAGCGGTATGGAGGAAGTCAGAGAGAGGAGGCGGAGAGACAACAAGCGATGACTGTGGAGGCGATGGTAGAAGAGGAGCACAGGACGCATCAGAGCGGAGCAACAAAGGGTGAGAGCGCCGGACTAGAGAAACAGGACAAGCGCGAGAGGCACGGTGAGACCACCTGCGGGAGGGGGGGTCGGGTCAGGAGACAAGGGAGGAGACAGAGGAGGAGGACGAGGGGGGAAATGAGCCGGGGAAGAGTCCGACGGAGGAAACACATGGCCGTAGACAGGCGTGGGAGGCGGCGGCGGGGGAGGCGTAGATGGGTGGTTGGGGGAGGGAAGGCCCAGGAGGCGAAGGGCGGACACTGGTGGTAATAGCTCTTGCTGCTCCAGCACCGGTGCCACCCCCAGGACCGCTAGGACGAGCCACGACAGTACCCCCAGGACTAGCACCCCCAAAACCAGCACCTCCATAACGATAATCCTCTCCAGCACCTGCCACCCACAGGACCGCCGAGTCAAGCCACGAAAGTACCCCCAGGACTAGCACCCTCCTCAATGCCCGCACCCCCAAAGCTCGTTGTCCCCCCCACTTCCTTATTAGCCTGCCCGTTTCTTGCCAGTCTCCCTCGCGCTGACCCTGGTCTCGCGTGCCGCCATGTTGCCGTGTTGCCGTGACGTCGTGCCGTTGTGTCGCCGTGCCGCCGTGCCACCGTGCTGCCATGCCGCCGTGCCGCCATGTCGCCGTACCGCCGTGTCGCCGTGCCGCTGTGCCTCCGTGTTGTTGGATCGCCGTGCTGCTGTACCGCCGTGCCACCGTGCCGGCGTCATCCACTGAGGTCGTGGGATGGCGGATGCTGTGCTTTGTCTGGACGTGGAGGGTCAGGCGATTGACTTTGAGGCATGGCTCGTCGACGTTCGCCGTCACCTGAAAGGTCAGCGCCAGGACGGGTACTCTCTGGCTGTTCATGTCGATGGTCTGCTTCCCCGTCCTGCCGCGCCTGCTGCCCTTCCTGATGCCCCCACCCCTGCTGAGCGTGAGGCCTTTTCCGCTGATGTGCTTGCTCATGCTGTCTGGGAGTCGCGCGATGCCGTAGTGTAGCTTGCTATTAGTCACGCCCTCCCCCTGTCTGAGCGTCCATGCTTTGCCACTGTATCAAACGCCAGTGAATTCTTAGATGCAGTCGTTGCATGCTATTCCACGCCCGTCATAACGTCTGATGGCCGCCTGATCCTCCCCATGCTGTTCCCTGATCTTGCGTCCTTCCCCACTTTCGCTGACCTTGCTATTCACCTCCGCGCCCTTGAGACTAGCTACCGCGCCGCTAGCATTGAGGCCCAGCTCACTGCATTCCCGCCGCCGCTTTGCACTACCCTTTACTTCATTGCCACACGCCTCTGAGACCGCCTTGCCACTGCCCGCGACCACTTCCTTTGTCAGCACCCTGGTGACCTCACCCTTACCGCCTTTGTTACAGCCCTGTCTGAGATAGAGATCCGCCAGCGCACTATCGCTCAGTCTAGCGGTATTGCGGCGGTCCCTATCTTTCAGGGCTGTGCTCCCTCCTAGTGCACTTACTCTGACGTTTCTGCCACTGTCGCTGAGACAGCCCCTGCCACTGCGGCCTCTGCACTTCCCAAAGGCATGACGAGCTCTCCGGCCTTGCTCAAACATGCCAAGCTCAACCACAAGACAGTAGAGGTAAAAACCAGGATCGAGCTATCAGAGACTTCAATGAGCATAACAAACACAGTGGAACTGCATGATGCAAACCATACCTAAATCTGAATGTTGTGTCGACTGCCCAACAGATGCACACTGTGCTGGCCGTGCCGCCAGGTGAAAACTTCGAAGCACACTACGCACGGGCAGCCCTCAGATTCCACGATGCACCGTGCTTCTCGTACGTGGCTGTGTAGGGCCACGAAGATGCTCCATTGGGGGCACACATCGTGACCATGTGGTACGCGCAGTTGCTGCTATTGGTGCATGCCCTTGTTGTAGTAGATGGGAAGCCGCATCGGGATGTTTTCGATGCCAGCGGCCTCATTTAGGAGATGGGGGGGAGTGTAAGGAAATTCCATTCCTTACTGAATCGTACGCTAGCGTGTACACCCAAACTCCTCGACTCTTCACGTTCGGCCTCATTTGTCGGCCCAATCCTTTCCCGCACCGCGTCCGGCACTGTTGCCACATTGCCGAACCTACCCACGTTCCGAGGTTATCGCCCTAGCATGCCAACCCCTATATAACCTCGTGCCTTCAGTGCAATAGCGACATTTTATTCTCACGTTATATTTCATTGACACTTCCTATATCATAGCATTCTTTGAGTTGCGTGCTACAGTACGTGTAATGTGAAATCACTAAAACTTTGATAATTTAAAAAAAACCATACACAATAGACAATGAACAAAGAAACCATAGGTATCAAAGGGTTCTCGTGATGTTTCGTGTTGGAAATATAAATACTAGATCAACATTACA